GTTATTGGTCCCTCGATACATTAGATATTCTTTTCATCTCTTCTTGTCCTTCTAAACATATTTTATTCCTAAAAATCCAAAGTCTATAGCTAAAAACAAATTATCCCATGGTACACTTAAATAAATTGACTTCTCAAATTCATTTTATCTTCACCATATATATATATATATATATATATATATAACACATAGAAATTTGTATTGATTATCCTTTGCAATTAATTGTGACTTTCATAGCACCACTCTAGATCATTATTGCACAAATTTTTATACTAATATCCAGTTTCGCTCTGTATACTATTACATAAATCTACATGCATTTATCCGAGTGCACTAAATAAATATTATTCTTAAAATTCCAAAGTTTGTAATTAAGACAATAACTTGTGTTACACCTAAATTAACTTCTCAGATTCATTTTATCTTCACTATGCATACATGACTCATACATATTGGTATTTGTTATAAATAAATAATGTATTTATAATATCTCAATCAGTAGAAATTTGTATTGATTATCCTTTGCAATTAATTGTGACTTTCATAGCACCACTCTAGATCATTATTGCACAAATTTTTATACTAATATCCAGTTTCGCTCTGTATACTATTACATAAATCTACATGCATTTATCCGAGTGCAATAAAGGATTTTTTATTTAATTGTTGGTTTACTTGAGAAGTCGATATTCATTACACAATTATTATTATTATTATCATGATTGAACCCTTTCATTAGGTGTTCATTTCTTTTCTCTCTTATATGACTGTGGTGTTTGAATGAACTAATGATTGCTTTGTACTTGTTGAATGTTTGATTTCGAATTCTAAATACAGTACATTCGTTAGTGCTTGTGTAGTACTTCTTGATTCAATTGCGTTATCCCTGGGATTCTTAGTTCATACTATAATTCAATTACTCGTAATTATCATATTGGCGTCGCGATGGGGCCTGCGATGGAACAGTTAGATATTCATTCAACTTCTGAAGCTTTTGAGGACTATTTGGAAAGGTTTGAAATCTGGAGCATGACCAAGAAAGATGATGAGGATATTAATATTGTGGCACATATTCTCACATTCATTGGAAAAGAAGCATATGGTTTATTAAAAATTTTGGCTTCACCGGAAAAGCCCATTTCTCTTCCTTATACAACTCTCAAGGAACTACTTCTAGACTATGCTAAGTATACAAATTTCGAATGTGGTAAAGGGAGATTTCGTAAAATAATTTATGAGGATATAAAAAATTCCACTACATTACGTCACCCCATCCCAGTGCATACTCAAGGTTGTGCAGTTTACGAAGATGGGCACAAGTTTAATCAATGTTTTTTTTGTGGCAAGTTCCACCCTTTTAATTCATGTAAATTTCGTAATTATAAGTGCTTTAAATGTGGTGATGTCGGACATATTCAGTCAGTTTGTAATACTACTGTTCATCTTGCTGCAACTAATATTAAGTCTTGTGATTCTGATTCTATTAGTTTAAATATTTATAATGATCATTTATCTTTATCGACGATTTCAAAAGACAGTTTAGAGTCATATAGCAGTTCAGAGTTAAATTAAACTCAGGATTCTTGCGAGACAACAATTTCTAATGAATCAACCTATCAGATTTCTCATGTTATTGTACCAGATATGATTTTTCCTAATGATTCACATATTTCTGATGAAATTTCTTACGAATCTGATGAAAATATTTCGGATGAATCTAATCATGATCGAAAATCTGGTGTAGTTTTGATTGATGCTGATTTTTCTAATGGTCCTTTACTCTGCAATGACATTCTTAATAAATTTGAGGAATCCATTTCAGAAGAATCAAATCTTGATGTCATATCAAATATTATTTGTCCTCATGATGCATTTGTTTCTTGTGAGAAACTTGTTCAATGCGAAGCACGAGTATTAAATGAGTTAGAGTCTGATTACAATTCAGATGATTTTTATTTATTTATTTTATTTATTTATTTATTTATGGCTTTATTCAATATTATATTTTGGTACAATATAGAATTCTCAGCACAAAAATATTTCAACAAGTTTCTTTTACAGAACAAAAGAAAAAAAAAAACGGTTTAAAAAAATCTGAAAAAAAACTGTACAACTTTTCAATTAGAGTCATGTTAAGAATGCAGATTAATGACTAGGTTAACTCTAACAACCTGTTCGTCACAGAGTACATTTACTAGGTAAGGTACTATAGAACGTTTATACTTTTGCTTGCGTGCTTGGATTTTAATGTAATTTCGTCTCGTTCTACCAGAAGATATACAAGGAGAAAGATATGAGTGAAGGAGATGGTTAGTATCTGATAAAATAACATCTGCCAGGAGTTTGCATGACTTTAGATGTCTATCCACAATCATATTAATTATGGTCTCGAAAGATTCACCACATAACTCGCTAACTGCCTTCAGCGCTCTCCGCAGTACAGCAAAGTCTTTTCTCAAAAGCCCGGGAAAGAATAACGGAGAACAGTACAGAATAATAGGTAATATGCAAGAATTGACAAATTGTAGGAGTAAATGACGAGTGATCCCAAAGGCATGCAACCTCTTAATGTAGTATGTCAGACGGAAAACCTTCTTCGATAACAATAAAACGTGAGAAGACCAAGAGAGATCAGAGGAAAAGGTAACACAAAGATAATCGACCGTCGACACTGTGTTTATCAAAGAGTCGCCAATGGCACAAGCATTATGAGATCTCAAAAAGGTGTTTAAATGCCGATCATGTCTCATGCTAAAGTTAACAGCTTGACATTTAGACGGATTAAGTAGGAGACCATTAACGACAGACCAGCTATCAATGCGAGATAAAAACTCGTTCATTTCTATAGGATGTAAAGAGGAAGAGATAGGCATACAAACAGTGAGATCGTCTGCATATTTCACGAAAGTGTTTACTGTGGAAGATGGCAGATCATGCAGACAAAAAAGAGAAAAGAAGAGGTGAAAGAACAGCTCCTTGTGGTACACCTTCATAAGACACTAGAGACTCTGAACACTCCTCCAAACACCGTGTACTGTTCCCTTCCAGAGAGGTAGGAACATAGCCAGTTGGTTATCCAGCTGTCAGTGTTGACGCTGATTAACTTGTTAAGTAAACGTTGCCTTGATATAGAATCAAAAGCAGAAGTATAGTCCAGGAAAGCGCATCGAACATACTTCTTACCCTTTTCTAGGTTGAACACTATATTATGATGCAGAACAGCAACAGCATCGAGGGTGCTTCTTTTGCATCTGTAAGCAAACTGATACTGGTCAATGTGCTCTTTCATCGCAGGCTGAAGTGAAAGTGTCAATAATTTTTCCATTGCTTTGAGGAAGGGTGAAGTTATTGCAATGGGTCTGAATTTCACATTCTTATCACTAGATGATTTCTTGGGTATAGGGATTATTTTCATCTTTCTCCACATTTTCGGTATGAGATTAGAAGAGAAGGATCTATTAAAGATAGTGATGAATGGATAGCATAGGACGTCAGCACACTTTTTGAAAAGGAGGTTTGGGATACCATCAGGTCCCAAACATCGGGATGAATTTAGTGACTGGAGACATTTTTGGACATCAGTTTCGGTGAAACTAGGAACACAGCTATTTTTTAAACCCGTGAATAAAGGGAGTATCACATCAGATGATTGACGTAAAAAAGACTTATTTAAGTCACAAACATCCAGATGGTTATCGGTCCTAATCTGTCTGTCACCTGTAAGTTCTTTAAAGAGTTTCCACATACTTGAAGAGTTTTTACAAGACAAGAGTTTTTGAGCAAACATAGTGTTGAGACGACTAATCTCGAGGTTTATCAGACCATTTAGCTTACGAACTTCACTAGAGTTTTTCTTTTTGTACATTATTTCTTTCACCCTCCGTAGTCGTTTTAGTTGCGAAGATGTAAGTCGATCAAAACTTACAAAAATAGTTTCAGTGGGACAACAAATATCAAAACAGAATTTAAGGTAGCAAGTGATAACATCAGTAGTGATTTCCAGTGAGTCATCTGCAAATAATTCCCAGTTAGTCGTACGAAACATGTTTTTCAGATTTCGGATATTTACTTCTGAGTAATTCCTATATTTGACTTTCTTGCTTTGATTTAAGAGTGCACTCTTTCCATGCTTTCCATATACTTTAGGTAGAACACGAATTATACAGTGATCCGAGCTAGACAATGGAGCACGTTTACGAGTCACATATATACCTACATCATTAATGAAAACGAAGTCTAAATGAGCATCCAACCGAGTAGGAAAAATCTACTACATTTTGGTGACCTAGAGATGTAAGGAAGCTACAGTCACATGAATTAAAATCACCACATACAACTGAAAGTTTGTCCTTATCATAAATTCACTTCTAATGTTTACTCTAGTCAAATTGAGAAAGATGTTTTAAATGAAGCCACATTATTCATAACTTGGGGATATGAAGATCCGACATTATTTCGTGGGGGAGGATAGTCTGAATGTCTATGGTTCAAATTCTAGGTAGCAGTACTTTCAGTACTCAACCGACATGATGATTGTACACAATCCCAGAAATCAAGTGAGTCTGTTCCGATTTCAGTTGTTTATTCTAATAATAATGAGTGCATTCTAGATAATACAGAGTCTTTATCCAATACATTGTCGGACAGACATAGGATGATTTTAAGAAGAAGACGTACAATTGATTACAGACACTTAGACTCTAATTTAAGCTGTGGCGGATGTAGTGTTTGAATGAACTAATGATTGCTTTGTACTTGTTGAATGTTTGATTTCGAATTCTAAATACAGTACATTCGTTAGTGCTTGTGTAGTACTTCTTGATTCAATTGCGTTATCCCTGGGATTCTTAGTTCATACTATAATTCAATTACTCGTAATTATCATAATGACTCATACATATTGATATTTGTTATAAATAAATAATGTATTTATAATATCTCAATCAGTAGAAAAATCAGATTTTCTGACGTTTCGTGACTTAGTGTAAGCCACTTCTTCAGAGAAGAAAAAACCAAACTAAAATTAATTCAAGTTTAAATATTATAACGAAATGACATGAATATTATGTGATCAATCAGAAAACACATACATATACACAAATTTACATACATGTAATGAAGCACCTTGACCGAAATGACATGACATTGATTTATTCAGACCCGTTTTTTGATTGACCATATAATATTCGTATTGTTCCATTGTACCACTTAAACTTGGGTTAATTTTATTTTGGTTATTTATTCTCTGAAGAAGTGGCTTACACTGAGTCACGCAACGTCAGAAAATCGAATTTTTCTACTCATTAGGATATTACAAATATATTACTTATGTATAACAATCTACCCAATGTTCAATTTATTCGAAATTATCAAATTAAACCTTGGTTAATAATATCTATATTGGTATTTGGTTATCCTTTTCACTTAATTGAGACTTTCATAGCATCACTCCAAACTATGACTGCACAAACATTTATTCTAGAGTCATATCTTACTGCGATAATAAGTTATTTTATCTTAATTATTTTCTATTTTATCTTTCTTTACTAATTTGACGATACATACATAGTTGTTTATTTTTGTTCTGTGTTCATAAACACGCTTATTAAACTATTAGCGTATTTCACGTCTCCTTTATTTCTATTCCCTTATTTTCTCCCTTTCCTTCTTTAAAGTCAATTCAATATTCTTCTCAATTACACAGAACCTGACTTATTATTATTATTATTCTATTATTATTCTCTTTTTCAAATATAATTCCAATATTATTGAAACTTGTGTATTATTGCATTTTTGCAGAAACCCAAAATGGTTTCTTCATAACACTTATGTGCTTATAAGATATTTGTGAATAATATTGATAATTATAATCACGATCCATCTTTACCCATTGTAGTAGCATCAGACGCTTCGATTTACGGCATTGGAACAATTATTTCTCACACCAAACCAGATGGATCTGAGAAGGACAAATCACATACGGCTAGATCGTTAACTAGAGCAGGACATAACTAGAGTCAGATCGAAAAAGAAATCCATCTTGACACATCAACACAGATCACCTACGTCACTGATCTACACGTCTGGTATAGCAAATACTAGAACACTATAAACAACAATACATAGATAGAGAACAAAACAAAAACATGGAAATGATTTTATAAGACACCATTTTATATTGTTTAATGAGTTTCAATGTCACTGACAGTTGTCGTTACTCCTGGTAATGGTACTTTTATTTGTGGCATGGTGGTACCATTTTCGGTCTTCATTACGTCATTAATACAATCGTTACTCATCTCTGTAGTAAAAGATGTTTCGATGTCATTAGATTTTTTCTGCTGACTACAACATTTACGCTTAATTAACATGGATGAGTATATTATATACAACGGTATAGACGTTAATTTAGCTACAGCAATTGGCATAATTGCGCCCAATTCTCCAGTTGGTTTCGGCATTATATATAATAGGACGAGAATTGCAATTGCAATATTTTGTATAGCAGTCTCTAAAGCCACCGTAATAATTGATTGAAATGGTTGTCGTAAAATGAATACGAATAATGAACTTATACCAAAACCAAGCCAAGGTAACAAAGCACATACAAGAATAAGTAAAGGAAAGGCAAATAATAGACGAAACAGTGACCAATTAACGTACACACCGACAATTATAAAGAATACTAATTGAAATTTAAAAATTGGTCCGGCTAGTTTGGTGAATTTCTTAGCAAAATTCGGTTTCCATATACGTAGACCTAAACCTAATAATGCGGGTATTGCTATCTGTAACAACTGCAAGAAAATATTGAAGTATGGAATTTCTATTCTGCTCGCATCAATGAAGAACCGACCGTAGACGAATAGAAGAAATGGCATCATAACTGTGAGTGAATAAAGAAGAGAAACAAAATAAAAATGTAAAAGTGACAATTACCATAGTTTATAATATGTAAAATGTATCGAGTCATGTGCATTATTATAAAAGAGGATAGAGCCTGACAATATACTTATAAGTGGAAACAGTTCTTCAGTTATGTTTGATCCCCAAAACACTTGTTTATGAGATTATTCCAATGGTATTCAGGCTATGTGATAGATTTCAATGTTTCCATTTTGTTATTTACGAAAAAGAAATCAATCACATAAGTATCACATTCGTAGTTGAAGCTTTTGACCTCCCCTTTGCCTTAAACAAATATTTAGTAGATTCACCTCTTTCAGGTTACATGAAAGCATGTAGCTTCTAAATAAAATGGGATATTAAATTCAACAATCGTCGTTTCATTTAGGTTTGTAAAACATCAGTAAACCTGTAAGATGTACCAGAATAACAGTTTACTTCCATTTTAGATTAATATCAAGATAATAATACTAATATGTATGTAGAATTCCAATGAGTTGAAAAAAACTGAATTTTATGTTTTCCATGATTTAGTGTGAGGAAGAGAAATATAAGTGAATACTTTTATGATCATAAATAATCTGCTCAATGTTCACTTTGTCTGAAATTACGAAATCTCGTGTTAAATAGATAATAAGTTGATATGTCTATTTCTAATGCTGGATAACATACTTTGATTGATCAACTCCCAGTAAGTAATCGTTTAATTGGTGTGCATTATTAAGACATAAAGAGATACTTTAAACACCCTAACCAAGTAGATGAATCAGTATATTTCTCTTATATATATTACTACAAACAATGTGAAAATTATTGGTATTTTGACCACTTTACCTATTCGTTGCAATTCATTTCGTCAGTACTAAAACGAACAGGTATTCATCAAATCTCAACAGAAAGACATGTCATTCAACCATAACTCCCCAGTATGAGTTCTGTGCATAGCTTTATATTCTACTTCTGAGTGAATCCACATACCAGATTGAAACAGTTCTTTCGTGCTTGTATTGGTGTGACCTTTATTAACTAATTAACAATGAAACTGAAATGTATGATCATTCAATTTATCACTGAATAACATACCCACAGATACTGTCGTTTCACTTCTCTGGAACATAACACTAGTTACTGCACGATAATCTACAAAAGCTTTTATTCCTCATCTAGCTATGCTCATACAGGGTGGTTTTTAAATATCAAACAGCAGAATCACGTAGATTAACTCAACGTAGTTTATCAATATTCTAAATCATATAAAATGCCCTCCGTCTTTGTCCATTTATCACTATTCTTTGTTTGATGTATTGGAGCGCAAGATGAAATAACGATGTACTTAACACACTCATTTTACTGTAATTAGTATGTAACTAACGTCATTAACCAAACATGAAGTTAATGTATGATTTTTAACCATAGGTTTGCACAGTATATTCCATTAACGTTTTTAATCGGTCACAATGTAAATAGAATGACAGCGACCAGTGATATTTAGTTAATTATCAACCACAACTGAGCTACGAAAGAATGGGTTTAGCAATTCCAGGTGAAATTGTCCTCATTCAAGATCTAATAATGACAGAAGGAATTTTTTGAACTCCCGTAAAATGAAATACTAAATAGGCTTTATTGTATTGTTGGTTCATTTGAAATGATCTCCAATATTATATATCTTCATTAAAACAAAGTTCAAATGCATGATAATTTACTTAATGAACGGTTTTTTGTTTAGTATGCATACATTATATCATATAACTTCAAGGGATATATATATATATATATATATATATATATATATATATATATATATAAGTTAAACTTACAAAGTGCTGCTAAATTACTGATGAACGTCATTAACATACTCAAGTTGATGTCACCACCGAGTAGAAAAGACCAACCATTACTGGAACCTCCCCCTGGAGAACAAGCGACGGTGAGTAAACCGAAACCAAACTCCGATCTAATCGGGATAATTTTTGCAATGCCAAGTGCAATCTGAAACACATTTATTCACCTATTAAGTTTACCGTTTAAACGAAGCAATCATTATTAATATATCTAACGCTAATAAATGCATAGTATTTTGTGGTGTTTGAATGAACTAATGATTGCTTTGTACTTGTTGAATGTTTGATTTCGAATTCTAAATACAGTACATTCGTTAGTGCTTGTGTAGTACTTCTTGATTCAATTGCGTTATCCCTGGGATTCTTAGTTCATACTATAATTCAAATACTTCTAATTATCATATATTTCCAATCCACTCTGTAGCAATAAAAATTGACTAAGTTGTCTGTGATGAAAACTCCATTCCTGATTTCTTTGAGACATATTTTCTTCGATTACTCATGGATATACCAATCAGAACCTAATGTATAAAAAGGATTGTTTAGTGGCTGCAGTATCAAATAATAACCGAACAGCTAATCTTGAAGATCGTGACTTGCATTATCAAATCTTCTTGTATTCTACAAACATGATATTAATGAATGACTTAGATACACAAGTCCTAAGCACGTACAGTATCTTAATAAGTTATTGAACTGGACAATCAGTTAGCTTAACAATTAGAATCATGCAATGATAAATGACTGTTTAAATTTTTTTGATTGAGATCACGAATCGACTGATGTTAGACCACCGTTGGAAACCCGGAAGCACTGGACGGCCGTTTCGTCCTAGTGTGGAACTCCTCAGCATTGCACTTCCACGATCCCGCTCACAGGATTCGAACCAAGGGCCTTCAGTCTCGCGCACGAACGCTTAACCTACTGCACCACTGGACTCACTCGCGGATTCGTGGATGCGCACTGCTGAGGCGTCCCATACTAGGACGAAACGGCCGCCCAGTTCTTCCAGGTTTCCAACGATGGTCTAACATCATTCGATTCATGATCTCAATCAAAAACTTAATAATCTCCACAACCCTAATACTGACTGTATAAATGTTGACTAAAATAATATGTAAGCTATATTGCCCGTAATTTCATTAGATTAGATTTTGATTGATTGTCTGATTTGTTATGAAAATTTTTATCTCGCTGTCATAATTCTGAGAGACTTAATTATAGTTGAATGGTAATAATTTAAAATGAAACTCCCGAATGGATCCAGTGTTATGGGGTGCAAATCGAACCTTGACGCCTATTGTTCGAAAACATAATTCGGAAATTGTGAAATGAAACAGATTTCCAACTCTCAGATAATAAGATGTAGTCATTGGAATTTATGAGTTTTGTAGTGACCTGCTTTTGTCAACAGAACGCGATCGATTCAATGAAAACAATTATTATTATAACCAATTGTACCAGTGATTGTTTTACTGTGCCCGTTTGTTTACCTGTGCTAATGACAGCCATACTACTCTCCCGTTGACCTTGAACTTGTACTAATTCGGTTACGCTTAGTACTGCTTTGGCACGATCTCGGTATTCTTTCGATACCACGAGATCGCCAGCAAATACATCTCGATACAGCCATCATCTGCCTTCTGATATTGACCTGCGGGGATCTTACTGGTTAACTGGCACGTAGTCTTCTTGTAGTAGTGTTCATAGTCAATCGCGACTCATCGCCAACTACAGTTTCACCAAAACACATCATGACATTTATTTGGGAGGAATTTCACACCTAAAATGAGATGTTAGGTCCTTTGGGGACCCACACTATGATCAACCAGCTTCATAACACCGGACGTCACTTTTGTGTTACTCATCCTTGTATTCATAACGCTTAAGATAATTATGTATATTCTTAATTATTGACATTAAAAGGTATCACAACCGTATTAAAAAATCGACAGCTTTTAAAGATTTTGCTAAGTATTGTAGACGATAAACCTAGTGTTCCGGATTAAGAGAGTGAGCCAAACTATGAAGTTGTAAGCCTACATCAAATAAAGTAATTCGGATATGCATTATGCACGTTGTGTGACAGCCCGCTTTAATCACTTAGGCTGTCTGAATTTGTGCGTTTATGAACGTGATCAAATACTGGGATAGTCTGTAAAGTTACGAAGAGTTAACCAAAGCAATGAAGCGGTCCCATTTTTCGGTCTAACTTGTAGAGATTGTGAAAATTGTAGATTGGGAATTCAGGGTCCAATTTTCATAGTCTACTGCATGCCTAATTCCTCATAATCTTCTACCTTTCTATTATCTTAATATATATCTACTTGAACCTAGGTTTTGTGCTGCTTGGCACTCGTCGGCAAGGTGCACCTGTAATCTTGAGGGAACTCATGGACTTGATCCCGTGTCACCCAGCTTCACAGTCAGAGACGTCAGAGATCATCAGTTCCTTCATGGTTACAGGTACACCTTACTGACGAGTGCCAAGTAGCACGAAACCTGAATCCATGGTTTCCTATTGACTACCTCTAACCACCATCTTATCTCAACACAGTGCACGCACTGTCAAGTCACCTAGTCTGGTAGCCACATTGCAACTTGGTCGAAAGGATTTGATCTGCTCTAAGATGTATCTGACATAAAAGACATTGATCACCACCTAGTGATAAATCAAATGTAATTTATATTTATTTACTTTTCGCTCATTGGTATTTATCTTTTCTCGTCTATTTCAATATCTCCTCATTTTATCAGTTGCATGTTTTAATAGTTTGTACACTCACGTCACATAATAGTAATTTTGATCATATTTATGATGTTGACTAACAAAGTGCAAGTCACTGTAGCGCAAAGTGTTACGTTAAGGAGCCTACGATTTGGACAGCGATCCAAGTGAATTGGCAAGTCTAAAATATCTAGCGTGATATTATACGGTCAATTGGATTAAAAGTCAAAGTTTCCTAAGAAGCTTCAGAGTCCTTTATTCAAATAACTGGTGGAAAAGCAGGACCAATCTGTGAAGTGTTTACTCATGAAGAATAATGAGTACTGATTAGTGTTTGATAAATACTTTTTGATTGAGATCATGAATCGAATGATGTTAGATCACCGTTGGAAACCTGGAAGAACTGAACGGCCGCTTCGTCCTAGTATGGGACTCCTCAGCAGTGCGCATCCACAATCCCGCTCACGGGATTCGAGCCCTGGGCTTTCGGTCTCGCGCGCGAACGCTTAACCTACTCGACCACTGAGCCAGCATCCAACGGTGTTAGTGTCTAACATCAACAAATCCACGAAATTGCGCGCCCATCTTCCATTGTATTGATGTAGATACCTGTCTCTATGCGACACGGATTAGCTCCACTGGTCATGGCTTCCCACTAGAATTCCAAGAATTCCCTCACGAAGCTAGTCACTAGTGAGCACATGTTAGATATCATTATTAGGGTTGTAGAGATTATCAAGATTTTGATTGAGATCATGAATCGACAGTTATCTAGGAAGATGACCGCGCGATTTCGTGGATTGGTTAATGTTAGACACTAAAACCATTGGATGCCGGCTCAGTGGTCGAGTAGGTTAAGCATTCGCGCGCGAGACCGGAGGCCCTGGATTCGAATCTATTGAGCGGGATCGTGGATGTGCACTGCTGAGGGGTTCCATACTAGGACGAAACGGCCGTCCAGTTCTTTCAGATTTCTAACGGTAGTCTAACATCAGTCGATTCATGATCTCGATCAAAAACTTGATAATCTCCACAACCCCAATAATGATAAATATTCGTCGAAACACTCTCGATTTTCATGTATAAAGGAAATAAATAGGCAAGCAACTTACCAGTGGCATGAAAAAGAATTGACAAAAGAATCCAATTGATATAGAAAAGGGTCTTTTGAAATGATGCAAAATCAGAGAGGGTTCCAAATTACACCCCATTGCAAATGTGAACGCAGTTAGCATGACCGTGATGAAAATTCGGTAAACTCGATGTCCGATCCCTCTATCTACTCCTACAATGACAGGGAAACCTAATGTGTTGTTCTCGTTGACGCCATCAACTTCCTGTGTATTGAGTAAGGAGAGATTCAACTGATGCTGAGTTGCTAAATCATCATAATATAATTTTCTGCGAGATTCGGATTTATTAGTAAGCCATGACGTAGAAGTGTTATATCCAGATTTCGGCTTATCCACGCCAATCAAAAACACCAAATAGTCTAACCCCACCAGTTTCGGCAATATGTACAATGATATCTTTGTACTGGCTCCTGATTTAGGTGGTAACCAATACCTCGATTTATTAACTAACTCTGCAGAATAACTCGAATCTAGATCATAGGATAAAACTAAAGGTAATTGACTGCTGTAGTTGATGAAACAAATAACAGGTTTGATCTTATAATTATCGAAAAATATCAAATCGCGCTTTGAAATACTGATGACTACATGAACAGCGTTTGTCACATCATGATAATCATAACTGTACATTGAAGAGTTTTGATTTCCTCCAATGTGTTTCAGATAATATCGTTCCCGTGTGCGCCGAGTCTCTTCATCATATATCAACCCGACCTGTTGTGGAGATGTCTCTTTGACTGATGAGGAATATGACAGTGTTATGTTGGCATTAATCAACAGGCTAAGGAACGCTAGCCAAGTAAACATAAACATAGTGCACAGAGTAAGCGAATGGTTAACCAGACTTTATATCTGAGATCACAACTAGTCCACATTGATTTGTCAAACATGTTATTTCAAAGTCATAGGATTAATCCATTGTCATTCTAGAATTAGATTGGTTTAAATTGTATGAGTGACATGCTAGTGAAAACATGCAACAACGTTTTGTGAGACTTTATTAATTGGTTTATTTATCATGTCGAGAAGATATTATCTAGTGAGCTAACAACAAACCAGTTGTGGTTCAATTTATTTGCTCCCAACCAATTAATTTCGAGAGAATAACCATAATTAACTGAAAACTAGTGAATGATTTGAATCGTGTCAAAATAAATTTTCAATGAATCAAACTGTACGAATTTGGTCGACTATGTAAGCTAGTTGATTGGTTGTATATCATTTGTATTGCGATCAGATTCGTTAAAATCCAGTTGGTTTTGATTGGATGTTTGAATTCGTGATTCTTACGTCAGAAACTCATTTGATCAAGATATATGCATTAGTCGGTTCAATTGTTTCGAAGCGAAAATTGTTTACGTAAGAAGTGAAGACTTTGAACTGTTGGTAATTGTGGTACAACTGATAAAGTAAATCGAATGGTGTAAATCTAGTAACCAATAAAATGTTGGAAATGATACCCAGTTATTATTGTTAATATTATTCTTATTCTACTACTTTTCCTCGTCCCCCTGTTCTTCTTATTTTCTTCTTCTCCGTCTTCGTCTTCATTTTATTATTATAAAAATTAGGTGGACCGCGATCTAGATATTTTAACTGTATGGGAATGCTGTGGAGATATGTCTGACAAGCTTATTTTGTAAATAGTTTTGATTTGTATTTATTCTGTCAATTTCTCACTGCATGTACATTTATCACTAAATGATTGCACCTGTTGTTTAAATGTATGACCTTGACCACTTTTCCCGTTGTGATTCCAACATAGCGTGACACTACTTCTCACATACCTCTCGTTCTACATTCAATCGCATTTGTGTCAACCGAAGTCTGAATCAAATACCTTTTACCTTTGCAAACTGTAATTGGAATATACTATATATACCGCTGGATCATATCATTGGCGAATCCATCAAACACACTGGAATTATTAACCATCTATAATTGTGGATATTTAATACCAGATCAATTTGGAACACGCGCTCTCCTGGTAAAATAAGCAACCTTCCTTATTTCTATTGTGTTTATAACATTATATATATATATATATATATTATTTGTTATTAATAACTCTGTTATTATCCTTTGGGTTATTATATTGTCTGGTCCACCACATACTCCCTTCTTACAAACAGCTTTCTCTGTACCAACCTTAGCTTCCCTTCCTTCTTATGATCTTACTCCAAATTGTTAAACATCACAATTCATTTTCTTTTTTACTACATTCTTTGAAATGGAGCCTCTAACTTCATTTCACTCTAACAAGAGATAATATGAATTTATTCCGAATTATTATACCTCTGTCTGTTCTACAATACAATATTAAGCAAAGTTTGGCGTTCATATCCGAGTGCCTTGCTGCTCTGTTGTTTCTCTTTTTATTTTCTCCTTCAGAATCTTGCTTCGAGAGTACAGCTATGGAACTTCTGACGTCTGGAACAAACGTAACGTGTGCGTCAACTCAAGGTCATGGTTTATAACAAACGCTCTACGAATCTGCTTTATAACAACTATAAACTTAATAAGTTGGGAAGCATGCTATGCTCCAATAAATGTTGTATTTGTAGATCATGCCTGTAAAAATGGCATGTACTTGCTCATGCAGAAATATATTATTATTATGTATTTGAATTCGTTTTTGGCCAACCTCGGCTTTTCGGGAGCCAGTTGGCGTGCTTTAGAGAATACAGGTGGTCCTGTAGTCGTCATGTGATGTGTAACATTGCTGATTACACACGGCAATTTCGGTTGCTATTGATAAATGCCAGAATACGTATCGAGTAGTGGTTGGTAGAATGGGTCTATCGTGTGCCTAGTTGTGACAGGACACAATCTGAGACCGGAACAATAAGCCAAGCAAACAGATAAATTAGCATTTCCATCTACCAGCCTCCGTTTGCGCTTATCGATGAGTAGATTGTGGTGTTTTAGCAGTTGTATACCAATGATTGGCACAGAAACAACTGCAACAACAAAGATCCAGTGAATGGGTTTGCGTAAGCCTACGTTAAGATAAAGGTACCTTTTGCCATACGTAGCGATAGGCTTTCCGTTTGCCGCCTGTAGATTTAAAACCGACTCGTGAAGCCGGTTGTTGGAAATCGCTGAGAGAACGCTAACTTCTGCGCCAGTATCGACGAGGTAGCGAACTCTCGTTGTCACATCAGTGACATATAAAAGACGGCTATGTTCGCCGGCTGTGGTTGCCGATAACGCGTGCCGGCTTGGAAGTTTCCCGAAAAATTCTTCGCGTCGACCGATTTTGCGTTGGGAAAATTGCAGGGTTTTCTGCAATTTCTGGCGGACTTTCCGTACTGGTTATGATACCAGCACCAGTTGGGTTTATCTGTCTCTCGTGGTCTAGATATAGATCTCTCACGTGAAGTGCTTCTTCGCAGTCTATTGACCGTTTATGGCCATTCAGATATACAAGATGACGTGTAAGCGTATGACGTAGTTCTGTAATGCCATTCGGTGTCGCTTGAGGTCTTCTTTTTGACTTAAAAACCCTCGACGTTAGTAGATTTGGTGATCTCGAGGATGCGGTCGGCAGATGCTGCCAGCTAATCTACTTCGTTGTTTTGAAACGAGACCAGCACAGCTTGCACCTGTTGAGGAATTTTTGATAAGAAAAGCTGTTTGAATAGGCGATCATCGAAGGTTCTTTGGCCGATAACCTCTCTCATTCTTTGCAACATGTCTGTGGCAGAACCGTGTTGCACGTCGATGTTATTAAGGGGTTGGTCCAATCTTTGTCGACAGTTAAATCTCCGCGTTTAAGGATGGCATGTTTGATTTAGGAGTTCTGGTGCCCTACGACTTAAAGACTTACGCCAACTGTGACAGAAATGCCTTTCGAGCAAACTTTGCACTGGTAACATTGAAGCGCATTTTTGGTCAGTTTGACGGGAGAACTTTTCACATAATCTTCAGTAGTTTCATACGTCCCCATTTAGAGTACGGAAACATAGTATTCCCTCCTACACTCCAAAAAGATAAGGACACTCTGGAGCGTATCCAACGGCAAGCCAGTTTGGAGACTCAAGTTTAAACCCTATGAAGAGCGCCTTCAATCACTTAATCTTTACCCATCAGAGTATAGGCGTCTTAGAGGTGACCTTCTAATGGCTTACAGTATCCTTAACACTTCTGGACATCCTCTTAAACACCTACTTAAGCTTAGTCCCAACACTAACCTAAGGGGTAACACCCAGAAATTAGAGATACAACATAGTAGAACGGACTGCAGGCACAACTTTTACTCCTTAAGAGTTGTCGAATGCAGGAATTCGCTGCCAGCTGAGCGAGTTCAAGCAACTTCTCAGGAGTCCTTTAAGAGGCGACTTGATCCATTCTTAAACACTAAAGATAGTATCTTACTATGATTTTCCAATTCATTCATTTTTCTCTTTCATCGTTAATATACCTAGGTTCTTGCCTGGAGGTATTGTTGATCCCCTGCTACTAGATACGGAAGCCTGTAAAGCGAAAGCTTCTTCTATTCCGTCCACAACCATTTGAACCATTTATAACTATATTTTTAGCTATTCAGATCTTAGTGAAACGTAATAGAAACTACATCTAGGGCGCCATCACAATTACCAGCTTGAGATCCTTAGGAATTCACATTTCTCTGTTTCTACCTAACAATGTTTGCGTTTTGAATTTCCAAGTTGCTGTGTGGAATTTGAGCTTTGCGTTACCGTTGATGAAGTCAATAAGTGACTCGGGTGGGTATGTGTCGTTTGGTCTCCCAGAGTTTGAAAACTCTCAAAAAACCAGCGGACTTTTGAAAAGATTTGTAAATAGGTTGACAAACAGTACTTCATTTCACACAAAGGATGATAAAAATAAATTCCAGTCCACAGAAGTCATTCAGATATCAGCTGGTAGTGTAAGTTTGTTGTAAGTCTTTGCAAAACGCTTAGATTATTTTATGCTATTGGTTCTGGGCGGGCGGCTAGGCTTCGCACACATCGTCACGATATTGTTGATGTAGTTTTTTCGTAAAATGTGTCTTTTTTTCGACTTGGTTTTCACTATTTCCTTGTTGTAATATGCACTTCTAAATCAAGCAGTCACATAAATCTAAGATTTCAATGCAAATATGTAGGGAATCGCTCAAGAAGATTTTCATTATTTGGTAAGTATGCAGATCTCGTAACAGGAGGCAAAATCAGCGTCAATTCTTAGGTGCTCTTTAATTGACCTTAATAAACTAGATCGAATTACAGGTCAGTCAGCATAAGAGCATAGTACTCTTAAGTAGCTTATAAATGTCTAAAGGTTACTAAGAAAGTTGGATTTGATTAAACAATGGTGTAGTTATTTGGCTTCATGGATAGAAAATATCTTTAACAGATGTTTGTATACTGCTAAAGATAGTTTTTCAACCGTTCTTATTCTTTGTCAATGTTGTTTGTGTAGATTTACTTTGATGATCAATATTACAAACACGTATTAGGTGCACTTCCTTACCGAAATTCCATTAAATGATCTCCGGAAGCGGCCTTTTTTCCTTAAAGTGCATTATTATTACGACCAATGGTCATCTTGCTTATTTAAACTTTGCGTGTTAACCGAAACTGACTCTTGAGATCACACTTCTTCGTTCCTACACTTTGGTTTTATTGTCTAAGGCAACCGAATTTCGGTCAAACGTATAGCATTTATTTTTCTTGTGTCTAACACTAGTTTGTTATGCACGACAACTTCGCTTTTTACTCAAAAACTTACTGTTCCGTGCTCTTTTTTATCAAGGGTCTTTAAATAGGTACTTACTTTAGCACTAGTTTGTCTTACTTCTAGATTCATCTCTTTCTGTGTTGTTCTAAGCATTTTACCCTATAAGTATCATAACTTTCAAAAATCTAACTATAAGAGTGGTTCTTGTTTGTAAAATACATTATCTGGTGTCTTAATGTCACTTCCCTCTTGCCAATTAATCATACTGGTAGTGAAAGGAGTTGAAATGTATTCATGACATGAAGGTCTTGTTAAAAACACATGACATGCAGTCTATACAAATATAATTTCGTCTACGCGCTTCAGATATCACTAAAAATTATATGTATAAGTGTAGATAAATGGTACCTTTATAATTGATTTTTTTGGAATATCTAAACGTCACTTGAAATATAAGACTTATAAATTCTCTGTTATGTATGATTGACTTATTGTTTATCGTTTAGTGGTTATTTATTTATTTATTTGAACACATAAATATTGGTACCTGAGGGCACCAAATATATATGCGCCACACAAAACAATAAGAATTTAAAGAGAAG